CATGATCCAGGATCTAGTTAGACTTCACAGCAGATCAGCTTCTGGGTGGAGATTAAAGCTGATTATGTTGCTTTTATTCAGCGCAGAGCTGAACCAGCAGGCAAGTTTACAACTGAGAGACACGGAGCCCACGCCCACGGCTGAGACACGGAGAGGAGGGGGGGGGGGGGACTCTCAGCTGGAACAAGGAAACATCTGCTTTCAGCCATTGTTGTACGGTGGCCGGGAGGTGCAAACCGACATTACAAAATCTAAAAAAAGTTCCGAAACAAATAATCATTTCAGAAAACAAAATTACATTTTTAAAAAACTTTTACAAGTTCCAAAACAAATTATGATTTCAGAAAACAAATTTACATAAAAAATAAACAAAACACTTTTAATAATTCAAAACAAATAGCATTTTAAGAAAACAAAAAACCTTTGAAACACTTTTACAATTCCCAAAACAAATGATCATTTTAGAAAACAAATTTACATTTTTTAAAAACTTTTACAAATTCCGACATAAATAATCATTTTAGAAAACAAATTTACATTTTAAAAAAACTTTTACAAGTTTCAAAACAAATTATCATTTCAGAAAACAAATTTAAATAAAAAAAATAAATAAACAAAACACTTTTAATAATTCAAAACAAATAGCATTTTAAGAAAACAAAAAACCTTTGAAACACTTTTACAATTCCCAAAACAAATGATCATTTGAGGAATTCAGCCGGAAAGGGTGGGCACTAACTCCGAGGCTGAACCGGTCTTGTGCGAAATTCTGGCTCTGTTCGAAAACCTAGGACGCATCCTTAGAAGACCGGATTCGAAGGACGATGACGTCATAGCGCGGCGCCGAGGTCTGGTCGGATTCCAAGAGTCCTCGTTATGCGGCCTTAAAATGCGTCCTTCTTTTTGCCCGATTTGAAGGACGGGTCTGATGTATCCTCGGTATTCTTGGATATCCCAGGATTCATTGCGAGACCAAGCAAGCCGTGATCAGAGGAAAGGTTACTTGGCGCCGAACAGTGGTGAAAATTGGAGGTTCAGTTTAATATAATCCAGTCTGTGAACAGTTCCGTCTGAAATGAATGAAAATAGTTGTTTTAATGGTTACTGAGTCAGATATGTGGCGGTAATGTTTGATTTATCTAAAGGTTTTAATCTGTTACTGTGTAAATGAGTTTGGCTGTAATTTAAGGACAGATTCTAATATATCTGCAGGGTGGGGACTATAAATCTGATAGGATTTTTATCTTTTTATTGCTGTTTTGCACAATATGCTTAACTACGTATTTTTTGTTGTTGAATATTAGAGATTTTGCAGATATATTTTTTATAAATACATTGTTTAGATTTACTTATATGTTTCTACCCCTTTTATAGAATAGAATAGAAAATCCCTTTATTGTCCCACAATGGGCAAATTTACAGCAGCAGAAAGATTATTGAAAATGGTCACACAAATGTGGACCTTAGAAAAATGTATAAGAATAACATGATAGGGAAGAGTTAAAATATAAACAATAAAATACTGTAAAGTGTTTTAACAATATAAAACTGGGGAATAAATAACCAATATGCAGCTATGGACATTTTTACAATAATGGATATTTGAAAATAGCAGCAACATCAGAGATGTGCAGAATGACAGCAGCAGGTTATTTAACTGACTAAGTGTGCTGTCCTCGCCCTGAGTTTTCCAATTTTTCAGCAAGCTAGACAGCCAGACAACGACGCTCCAATAACCAAACTTCTTTTCTCTTTTTACTTGTTTATTGAAGAGTGGCCTCTGACCACTGCCATCACTTTAGCCATCGTAACTGTAACATACAAACATTACAAAGTCAATCACTCTTGCTGCAAGTTAAATAAATCAGGTTCAATAAATAACTCTAGTGTACAATTATTCACTTCAGTTACATAAAGACAAGAAACAGTTGTTTTCACAAATAAACGGTACTTACGAACAAATCTTGTCTGAAACACAACGTCAAAGATATCAATCAGCTCATTTCCCAAATTGTTTGGTGCTGCATTCCACCATCTTGGATCTACACCTTCTTTTAACGTCACCAAATAATATAGTGCATTATCCAGCAGGGGGTGCCCTAGTGCACTTTTCAACCAAAGAGGCAGCACACTAAGGTTTCTATCATTACATTTGATTTTATTTGTTCCTGCTCCCGCTGGTTGGAACCTTTATTCCACTCTGGATTCTTGTGAGTGTAGTCTTTGTTCACTTTAACTTTTTTTTAAATAAATAAATAAACAAACAGTTTTGAAAACCTCGGTATTAATTCTTTTCCTGCTTTGTGTGTCAACGTTCACGGTTGCTAAGCAACAGAGCATACGGCGGTAAAACCCGCCGAAGGGTAGACCTGGTCGAATTCACAGCCTAAACTCTTCCGGTCTCCTTATTTTCAAGGACTTCGAAGGATCCAGTCTAGGTAGACCGCGTCCTTGGAGGATGCGTCCTAGGTTTTCGAACACAGCCTCTGTTTCTGTTCCTGCTGTGTTGGGAGCGCGCATCGCAGCCAGAGAGGCGGATCTGACCATTTTCACGGCGCTCCTGATCATTTCTCAGTGAAAACAGCTCATATAATCATGTCAACTTTGTGACATTCAGTTTAGTCGGTTGCTCTTTTTACAAATTTGTAAAATAAATACATTAACAAGGTTCTTACGCTGTTTTGTGTTGTTTTTTTAAACGCCAAGAGAATCGGTATTCAGCCTGACAGAAATAAACGTCAGTCACCAAACACAAATTTCCAACACGTAGTGTATTTTTTATTTTTCATTGCTGATATAAGAGGATGGAAACTGGCTGATAGCAGGGCACACAAATTAAGACGTCCTGCGAAGCTGAGAGTGCAGAATTTCTGGTTAATCTGTTTTTTTTTGTTGTTTTTTTGTTTATTATTATTATTTTTTTATGTAAATTTATTTTCTGAAATAATCATTTGTTTTAGAACTGGTAAAAGTTTTTTAGATTTTGTAATGTTGATTTGCACCTCCCGGCCACCGTACATTTTAGCAGCAGGGCTACAAAATAAGATTAAAACAACTCAGTAAATGAAATATGTGGGAAGCTAATGCGATAAAAACGGATGTTTAGGTGTCAAAATGTTAATATTTAAGGCAATATACAAAATTAAACTTAAGATTTCCTTCAGTCATTGTTGTAAACAGACATTTTACAATAGATGCTTTATCCTTGAGAATAAAAGTTTAGTAGTTATGAATATTAAAACTTTAAAACAATACCAATAGGCTACAAACCAAGCAGCCTTACTCGGCATAATGGGCATTAGAGAGAAAGATGTTGCAAACTTATTCGTATGTATCACAAATTTACAATGTTTAAAAGTACCAGAGTGTAAATCAGAAATGTAGAAAAATGAGTCGCAAATTTACAGCTAAAAATCGCTGATTAAAAAAAATGAATCAACAGCTCTAGATGAAGCTGTTCCACTCCTTTCCAGTTGGTGGCGGTAATGCACCAGAAGTTTGTTCGCCAACAGCCTTTAGATAAGAAGAGGAAGAAGATAATAATAAAAAAAGAATGTTATATCTTTGTTAAAATGTTGTTTTCAGTATTATGTTCCTATGGTTCTGTAATTGTCTCCTTATTTACAAAAAAACACTTTTGGACTTTTAGATTGTTTCCATGTAAACACAAAATTGTTTATTCATATCAGTCAGTGGCGGATGGTCAACAGAGGGCGCCACCCCACCCACCCAATGACCCTGATTAAGACATTATAAAAATACAATATATTAATGAAATAAAATATATTTCGTAATTTCATTTTAAATTAAAATTTAAAATATTTTGAAATATATTGATAATATATTGATATATATATTTTTATACATACAAGAGAAATATTGTATCTTTAATGACTAGTAAAGCATCATTCCATTTTTGGTCAGATTGGTGACATATTTCCGCCTTAGGGCACTAAAATGTTTGCCCATTGACTCACGTTAAAAGTTCTCCATGCGCAGTAGATGCTCTGCAATACAGAAGGTATAGGACGGCCCAGGGCGCAGCTAAGCTGCGACCTGAGGTGACAGGAAGTGTATTTGCTCATCATCTCCCGCCACAGCGCAGACGTTTGGCGGGTGATTGACAGGCCGAGACGTATTGGAGAGAGAGAGAGTGAGAAATGGAGCAAGAAACATCTTTTTCCAGGACCTGGTTTAGCTACGAGGCTAGGCTAACTGCGTGCACCGAGGCTAACTGCATGCAGCAAGGCTAAGGCTTTATCCTGCTTCTCTGCCTCCTTTTTCAAACATCAGGATCTGAGCCAGCATAGATGAAGACCGCCAGGACTGATTTAAAGCACTTTTTAGAAAAGGAAAGAAGAATGAACAATCTGGGATTCACATGGAAAATAATAGAATATAGTCTACTTTTTCTAGATGTTTAATTTACATAGTTGCTCTTAAATAAACACATTCTCAGAAAAAAATAGTTGTTGTCAATTATTAAACTGGTACATTATTTTTCAGGTTTATGACACAATGTAGAACGATGCACACATAGTTACCTTCACAAAGCCTCAAAAGGGCAACGTTTACGTACAATCTGTACATGAAATTATATTTTGTTTTCACAAAGTATTTATTATCATATTTTGTGTTGTTGGCATTTATATAATTATACTGGTGTGATAGCTTAGTATACGTTTGATTGGTTTTTGGTATACGTCTTTTTTGAATGTATAGCGCCCCCTGTAGAAAACTCCACCAGCCGCCACTAATATTAGTTATAAAGCTAAGCTTAGCTTAGCTCCTGGCCTAGCTTCTCTCTCCCGAACCCAAGCGAACTTTCACCCCCCATCTCAGACTGTTCTCAGCCCATGCAATCAGCCGGTTTTCCTTAGATAGAAATATTTTAAAGAATATGATTGTGTTACTTGTATAAATAAATTGAATATTTTCTAATTGCAGGTTGATTTTCTTTTTTTTTTTTTTCTAAATTTCACACAATGAACACAAACACATTAGAAATATATGTTTTTATTGGCAAAGAAATTCAGCAACATACAAAACAAAATGGCAACAGCAAATAAATGACAACGCACAAACCTGACTTTTTCATGTACTGCTGTTTGTTAGGTTGTTTTATTTTTTATTTTTAAACAAAATGCTTAAAATGCAGGTGGGACCCAAAGACTTTTACGTGAAGAACATATTCATTATGTAACAGTACGGGTGTTTTTATACAACAACAGCTTTCTAGATCTCTCCTTCCGTGGATCTGACAGTGCAGCATGTTAGTTTAGTTTGAATCCCACCACATCGTCTGGACGAAACAGAAAACATTTTTCTTTTATTCCCTTTTGGTGTTTTCTTCCTTTTTAATGTGAACTTGAAAATCCCTTATAAGAAACTCCCTTTAGACTCTTGGTTGGCTTTCACATCTAGTATATTTAACTTCTAAATAACTTGTCCAAATAAAGCACAAAGCCTGTTTACTGAAAAAAAGCAGCTAAAAATTATAAAATGTCTCTAAAAATAAATTTATTTGACCTCAATTTATGGAGGTAAATAAGATAATCTGCTAATAAAATGAGTGTTTTTGCCCTTTACGGTTATTTTTCTCTTATTTTAAATGAAAATCATCTTATTCTATAGGTAGATTAAAGGAAAAATACACTTACTTAAGAAACATACACTTATTTTTATTGAGATTGTTGCATTGTAGGAATTAATCTGCTACTAAACAGTGAAAACTGATTTCAAAATAAGTAAAAATAATAAATCAGTAGATTTGCCCTTAATTTGAGCCGGTAAAAAAAACTTCAAAATAAAATATTTAAGTTGTTTTTACTTGTTTTAAACATAAATCCTGGTATTCCATTGATAACTGTAATCATTTACCTGCTTAAAACAGAAAAACAGTCATTTGAAGAGGAACTAACTCACTAATTTTTATTTGATTATTAATTTTAGTGTAGCTCTGTGTGGAAAAACCCCATAAAAAGGGACAGCCAGTAGAATAGAATAAAAAAACACACACAATAAAAGGTTATAAACCAAAGCAAATATTCCCAAATGCCACGCAACCAACGGGTCACAATGTGTGTAAAGAAATAAACAAAATCCACATTAGATCCACATTAGAGGCTAAACTCTCCAATGAAAAATAGTCTGATTCATTTGCTGGTGTCTAATAAAGCTAAACAAGCTTTTTTATTTTTATTTTTTGATTTGTTTTTTAGCTGTAATAGATTTCTTGCCCCTTTTTCGACCCGACGGAGGAAGATGTTAGCGATCATCAAGGGTTTCCAACACATTCAGAGTTTGTTGGAAGCAAACACAGCTGGCTTTAAACAACATCGTTAGCCTGTGGTCTGGTCTCCATCACTAACTCCCAGTCATCCCTTTTTTTGATTCACTTTATGAATCATGACTTTAAAAGAAACAGACAATCATAGAGCTGGATTTGCTCTCTCATCTCTGGAAAAACGATCTACAAATAAGTAAAAATTTCTTATATTAAGTGTATTAACCCTTAATCTGAGTAGGTAAATGAGATAGTCTGTCAATAGAATTAGTTTTTTTACTCTTAAAATAAGATTGTTCTTGTTACCTTGGCAAAATGTTTTACCTGCTCAATCCGAGAACAATTTCACTTACTTTAAGAAAAAATTACTTTTGATTTTTTTTTCAAATTGCTGCATTAAAACAAAAGGACGGTTAAAAACATGTAGACAAACAGCAATCAGTGCAATTCATGTTAAAATAATCCCTTCTAGTTCCCGTTTTGTGTTGATTATTACATCACATATGTCAAACAACCCTCTGATCTCCTATGTGACAGATGATTACAAACAGAAAGTTGTTAGAAAATTACAAAATTAAGAGGTCAGGCAGGAAAATCTCTCTAGAACCTACTGCACAAACCTTTTTAATAAAAATGAAAGAAAAAAATCCGTACCCTGATGGTTTCACTGAAAGACTGATGCTGAAGTAAATGTAATAATTATCATTTTAGTCATTTACTTTAATTACCGTGTCAGTTTTTTTTAACCTCTGTATTCATATTAGGATTTATAGGTATGGTTTAAACGTTATTAATGGCAAACTTTAGAAATAATGCAACAAATGGGAGGAGTTAAATGTGGCAGGAGGCGCCTCACAGATGTTTTTTTACCCAAGACTCTCCGCTCCCTTATCCAGAAGCTCACTTCTTTAGGGAATAAAATGAACTGGTCCTTAGAGGGACTGGTAGCCTGCTGTCCTTCTCCTCCGCCCCAGCAGGTAGACTATCAGCACGATGACGATGAGCACCAGCAGAGTGATCCCCACTGCTATGGCGACACGGTAATCAGGTTGGTCGGCTGGACAGAAGTCGGCTGGAGGACACACAACAAAAAGATGAAACATCTGATGTCACATTAAGCTGAAAACAAATGAAGCATTTCATTTCATTATGTGTATTTATTTACATTTACAAATTTAGACATGTACGTTTTAATTGCATTTATTCAATCGCATAAAACTTAAGTTTGCATCCGACTTCTGATATATGCACAGGGAGAATATGCAAACTCCATGCAGATATTTACCCGGTCATGGAATCGAACCCTTAACCTTCTAGGTGTCATTATCTGGCCTGTTTGCTCCTTAATTAGTCATTCCTTTCACCTGATGTTTTCCTTCCCTGCCTCAATTATAATTTATTCCTCTCACCTGTTTCCTCTTGGTTTATATTCAGTTCAGCCTGAGCATTCAGGGCCAGATCATTACTTGTCTTTCTGTCAGTCTGTCCGTTCAGTTTTTTATTTCATGGTTCTTGTCCTGGATCCTAGCAGCCAGTGGAAAGAGGGTTTTAGTGTTTGTCTCGTCTCCTGATCGTCCACTGTTCCTCCCCCGTGGAGTCCTCTGGGTTTTTGGCTCTATATGTGGGGAGGTTCAGCTTTTATCCAGTAAGCCTGGCTCCAGGGAGGAGACCAGTTTAAAGTCCTGCATCAAGTTCTGGTTCCACGTCCTGTCTCGGCTACCCTCTTCCACTGAGCCTGCTCCAGTGGCACGGGAAGGGGGGTGCTGCGGGGGCTGCAGCCTCCCTCGTCATAGCATCAGCCCCCCCTGGTGGGGGGCTGTGGAGTAACATAATATTGTATTTAAAAACATGAAATTATTTATGTATTTATTTTTTAAAAGACTGTGTTTGATATGGGATTAAAATGATGGGCTGTGTATAAGATATAAACTAATGATTCATTATTTAAATATTTCATAAAAAACTAGCCTACTCCCCCGGAAGTGCTTCAGCCACCTCATATTTGTTTAGCATGGCTAGCAATAGGCAGCAGAAACGTATCTCTGACTTTTTTTCGAGTAAAACTGTAAAGAAAAGTAAAAATAGTTATGGGAATTCTTCACAGGATGTAAACAACAATGATGATGAAACGGCGGGTGAACCCGCATCAAAGGCTGACACCGACACCGACTCGTTTCAGACTAGCGTCGTTAGCATGTCAGCATCCCCGAGCAGAGAAGTTTGTGGGCTGGACGTTGACGTTGACATGGACTCTGCTGAAGTCGGGACACATCGGATAGGTGCCAGAGAAGATGACAAGCCTTTCCAACCCAGGATGAAATTTCCAGGCAGGAGATTTGGTGGGGAAAAGTTTGAGCGTTCATTTCAATATGGATGGTTTGACCAATGGAAATGGCTACATTACATTAGAGAATCTGACTCTGTGATTTGTTTTATATGTGCTAAGGCCACGGATAAAGGATTACTGCGCCTCACCAACGACAATCAAAGCTCCTTTGTAACAGCGGGTGGATATAGTAACTGGAAGAAAGCTCGTGACAGATTTGCTCAATATGAGTTATCCGATTTGCACTCGGATTCAGTGCGTGCTTTGGAATCCTTAAAATTAACACCAATCAACGCTGTGATCTCGGATATTGCCGCTCGAGACCAGGCTACAGGTAGGGCTGTGCTGGAGCTTTTTTTCCGCTCAATCAAGTTCCTGGGCCGCGAAGGGTTGCCACTCAGAGGCCACGCTCACCGAGATGGAGTCCTCTGGCAGTTGATGCTGGAGAGAACGCATGCTCTCCCGAAAGAAAGAGAATGGATGTTACGCAGAGATAATTGGATGTCCGATACGAAATTCTGGGGATGTTTGCTCATGCCATCCAACCTGAAATCATGTCTCAAACTAGCCACTGTTCTTTTTTGGGCCTCACAGCAGACGGAACAACCGATATCAGCGCGAGCGAGCAATTTTCATGTTGTTTGCAGTTTGTGGATTCGGATTTAAGGGCACATAACGCCTTTCTTGGATTTTATAATGCGAGTGACTCATCTGCAGAAACATTGTTTTCATGCATCAAAGACATATTTATCCGTTTAAAGATACCTCTGGAACGTTTGGCAGGATATTGTTTTGATGGTGCGTCCAACATGTCTGGCCGTATAAATGGTGTTCAGGCGAAGCTAAAAGCAGAGTGTCCAGGGTCCCTATATGTGCATTGCAGTAACCATGCTTTGGACCTCGTTCTGCAAGAGGTATCAAGGGAAGTGAGTCTCATTGCAGACACATTGAATTTTGTTCAGGGAGTGTCTGTGGTCATTTCAGAATCAGCCAAACGTAAGCAGTTGTTCAGGTCTCTTTTTGGCTCTGAAGATGTGGTGTGCGATCTTCTGGGGCTTTGCGCCACCCGATGGTGCATCCGCAGCACTGCGATTTCAAGAGCCATCTCTGCGTATCCTACACTACTGGAAACCCTGAAGACTCTGGAGCAAGACAAGTCAGTTAGGGCTGAGATTCGGTCTAAGATATCCGGATTGTGCACTCAGGCTAAACAAGCAAGGACATATTTTGGATTAGTTTGCTGTGAGGCACTTTTTGGGCCTTCTGAGACAGTGGCCCGAAGTCTGCAGAGCGAAACATCAACTGCACGCTCAGCCCTGGAGTGTGTCACAATCCTCCAGCAACATATGCAGAGACTTCGGGGGGATGACTCTTTCAAAGAGCTGATGGAGAAGGTTAACACCGCTGCAAGACGCAACGATTTGAAAATGCCAAATCCCTCCAGATTGAGCAAAACCCCTGCTCGAATCCGCAATACTTCAGAGCCAGAGGCAGAGGCTCTGGTGTGTAGATCTGGAGAAGCACAGTGGCGACGTCAGTTCTTTGAAGCGGTATACTTAATCCAAAATGAGCTTAAAAGAAGATTTGATCAAAATGGAATGAAAGTGGCTGCACATAGAGAAACGACTCTTATTGAAGCTGCCATCCAAAACCTGTCCGGACTTAATGAAGAAATGCAACTCCCAGAAAAGTTCAATCGATCACGCCTACATATGCAACTAACTCTACTGGGTGACCTAACTAAGGAGAGAAGGTTCGTTGCAGTGAAAGAGGTTGCTGAATTCATTTCATCCTTGCATCCCCAAACTAGAGCGCTGTTTAAAGAAGTTGAGGCATTCGTCGAGCTTTGTTTATGTCTACCTGTGTCAGCTGCTCCATCAGAAAGATCATTCTCAGCTCTCAGACGACTGAAAACCTGGACCCGGAGTACCACAAACCAGAAGAGGTTGACACATCTGGCGCTAATGCACATACATAGTGACATTCTGGACAGGCTGGATATACCATCTCTTGTTCAGAGCTTCATCGGCAACACACCAGAACGCAAGGCCACCTTTGGTGCACTTTAAATCAAGGTAAGAAATGGTTTTAATTCCCCTATACTGCCGCCGAGCATTTATTTAGCGTTATTTATGTCTTACTTATTTCTATATGCTGTGCCTATTCGTCGTAGTACTGTGGCTGAAGAAGTCTACGCTAGAATAAGGCTGCATATCACTAAATATTATGTCGGTATTAAGCTATTTAGTGATAAAATATAAAATTAGTTATTTATTTTTTTTTTTTGTGTTTTTTGTTTCAGATATGAAATCATTCCCCATATCCATAGTCGAATGGACTTTCAATACTTTTTTTTTTTTTTTTTTACAGTGTCCTGTCTGGCAAGGTGGCAATAAGAATAATTGTCTTGATGCCAAAAGGAGCCCAACAGATTTTACTTTCACAAGTGTAGCGGTATGGCAATTGCCATACTGCTCCACTTGTTTCATGTATATAAATTGCTTTATTATAATTATGCAGGGAGTTTTACAGTTCATATGGACACTGCAATGTAAGTAGAGCAGAAAAACAGAAGAAGAAGAAGGAAAAAGAAAAAAACAGGACAAAAGATGAAAGAAAGAGGAGATAGGAAGGAGACAATGACAAAACATTTTCAGTCTGCTTCAACACCTGTAATGAGATGGAAAAAAAAAAAAAAAAAAAAAAAAGAAAAGCACAACCAAAAAACATGGTACGAGATATACAATAAAGCAAACACCTTGAAACTATCGCTAACGTAATATTATTAAGTCTGACATGTACTCTGTGTTACCTGAAGATATGAATGTGGGGTTTCTGTTTGGAAGTGAATCTCTAAGTACCTGAAGCCTAGCACCTGTAGTTGTTTGTGAGGGTGAACTTGTGCATGTAAAGTTTTAACCATAGAAAAAATGCTCAATAGTGGTTGTGGAGAGCCGGAGAGGCACACCCCCCAGAGCACTGAGTCCAGCGCCGGGAGACCCAAAGCCCCAGGCGCCCAAGGGGACCCCAGAAGCGAAGGCACCAAGGCGGGGCCAGCCCCGGAAACCAGACCCCACCAAGGCAGGAGGAGAGACAGCCACAAAGAAGCCCCCCAGCCACCGCCATGCCGGCGCCCCGGGGAGCCGCGGGGACGAGTCCGCGGGCCCCGCCGGCAGCCGGCCACCCCGAAGTAGGGCCGGGCACCGAACACCAGCCCCCCCACGGCGCCGACCGAAACGCCCCAGCCCCACAGAGCACCGAAACACGCCCCGCCCCCCAGCACCAAGCCCCGGCGACCGGCCGCAACACCCACCGTGACCGCACCACCCAGGACACCCAGCCCCACCCCGAAGCGGATCCAGTCCCAGGCCCCAGGGATCCGAGGCCCCAAGGGCACCCGATCCCCAGACAGGAGCCCCAGCAAAGCCCCGGCCGGCCGGGGCCAGCGGAGAGGCCGCCAGGAATGAGCCAGCAGTCCCCCGGGCATCCACCCCCAGCTCCACCAGTGCACCGGTGAGCCCCGACGCCAGCCAGCGGAGGGAGAGCAGGACGGGGGGAATGGGCTCCGCACTTAGCGGAGACTTGAGATGTATTTGGGAGAGGGTGCGGTTGAGACCCCAACCTGGGAGAAAAAAAAAAATAAATAAATAAAAAAAAAATAAAAAATAAAAAAAACACACCATCTCAATCATGCCTTCCCTCCCTAGTGCCCCCACTCGTACCACAGGAAAAAAAAAAAAAAAAAAAATTGAATAAAATAATAATAATAATAAATAAAGAAAATAACAACGCGGACACACATTCACACATAACACTCACATCCAATAATACCAGGACCAAAAACCCGGTGACACCGGTGGTCGGTCCCGGGACTATCGGATGACCCCATAAGTGAACCTAAAATCCGGATGTGAGGGGAGGGGAGCGGCGACACCGCCACACCAACCCATCTCTTTCCTGCTTCAAGCCCGGCCCCCCTCAAACCGGGGCCCACCCATCCCGCGCCGGCCACCCAACCAGAACCGCCCCCCCCCGAACAGAAAAAGAAAAAAAAAAAAAACCTTCAACCAGGCACTTCATGCCCCTCCATCCAACCTTCTTTGGGGAGAGCAGAGGTGACAGCCCCGCCACCAGCAGGCCACCTAGGCCCCGCAGCCAGCCCCAGCCAAAACCACGGACCAGGCGGCCCGCTCTTCCTCCAGGCCCCAGACTCCAGGCGGCAGCCGGAGAACAGGGGTGTGAGAAGACCCCGATCCTCCCTGCGCCCGCTCGGATGTGGTGTTGTTGCGTGTTGCTCTCAGATGCAATTAAAACTGGGAGTACCAAGAGGGGGTGTCCGGCACACTCCACCCCCCCTCCAGGAGATAGACGGTGCCAGCACACCCCCCCCCCTTCGACAACCCTCAACCCTCAATGTCTAGATGCGAGAGGGGATGGAGGAGGCCGACCGTGGTGAGGCCCATAAAATAAGCCCCCCCCCCTGTGGCCCTGACCCCCACCCCCCGAAAATGGGTTGACTTTCAATACTTTCAATGCTCAGTTTAGGCTATAATTAGGCCATGTTTCGTTCAAGTATTCCTGATCCTGTTGATTGGTAGCTGTTTGTTTTGAATGATTAAAAGAGAAGAAATAAAGTTTAAAATTTTCATGCTTTGTTCCGATGCATTTTAAATGGCAGTTTTTAGTGACAAATGTAGGCCTACAATATTATGTTAAAAGCGTCAGCCACAGCCCTCAACATAATGACGTCACGTGTTTTCCAACCCAGCCATCAGCCCCCCTCGCTTGAAACAGCTTCCAGCGCCCCTGGCCTGCTCATCTGCACCTGATCCTGTCTGCTCCTGTCAGACTCTGAACCCTCCTGGGAGCCTGTGGATGCCAGTAAGCCTGGCTCCAGGGAGGAGACCAGTTTAAAGTCCTGCATCAACTTCTGGTTCCACGTCCTGTCTCGGCTACCCTCTTCCACTGAGCCTGCTCATCTGTACCTGATCCTGTCTGCTCCTGTGCGTGACGCTTTCGGACCCTGTCAGACTCTGAACCCTCCTGGGAGCTTGTGGATGCCTGGAAGTCTGGATCCTGCCACCTGTTTCTTTTCCTGCCTGATCTGGATCCCTGACCAGGATCGGCTTCAAGCATGTCCTCTGGAACTGCAGCACTTGGGGGACATTCTTGGACTGGACTGTTAAACCAGAGTGTCTGGGATTGGGCGGTGGGCAGTGTCCGCGAGCCACAGCTCCACTTTAGTTTTTGTTTTATTTAATAAACTTTTTGAACTCTCCTACTGACTGTCTTTCCTTGAATACTGGGTCCATCTGTCCTCAGTTCATGACACTAGGTGCAAACAAACAGTGCTACACTGGAAAAAATTGAAATCTAGATAAGTAAAAAAGTGTAAAAAAGACATTTGGCCAATGGAAAAAGACAATTTACACTTAAAATAAGAAACACAATTACATTATCTTATTTCAAGTGCATTTTATCTAATTATCTTATTTTAAGAGTAAGAATATTCATTCCATTGGCAAACTATCTCACTTACCTACTCAAATTAAGGGTAAATACACTTAATTTAATAATTTTTTTACTTATTTCTAGATCGTTTTTCCAGTGCTACCCAATTCAATTCAATTCAATTCAATTCAGTTTATTTATATAGCGCCAAATTCACAACACATGTCATCTCAAGGCACTTTACAGTTCAACCAGATCATACAGTCAAATTGATACAAAGTTTTCTATCTAAGGAAAACCAGTTGATTGCATTGACTCATTGACTCAAATACAATCCCCCACACTAAGCATGCTTGTAGCGACAGTGGAGAGGAAAAACTCCCTTTTAACAGGAAGAAACCTCCAGCAGAACCAGGCTCAGTGTGAGCGGCCATCTGCCGAGGCCGACTGGGGTTCAAGGAGACAGAAGCAGAGATACAAAAAGCAGCTGTAAAAGGCGGCCCCGTCCAGGAAACACACAGCCAGGCAGACGAGCTCCAAGGCAGCTCCCATGCCAGAGGACGAAGAGAGCACATCCACTCAGTCACGGTCAGAGAAACAGGACCACACTGGAAAACAGGCCGATCTCCAACATCTATTAACAAGGGTGTTGATAGAAGCAGCACAGCTGATGTTTTTTTCCAGGATGACGTCACAGCCAAACAGGAACAGACGAGGCAAAGCTACTCTGAGGAAAAGCAGAGAGAGCAGAAGGTTAGAGATTGAACTAACAGATTCTGCAGAATAGGAGAACAGAGAGAGAATGAAGCAGAATGATGAAATGGGGGTCCCTATGTCCTCCAAAAGTCTAAGCCTATAGCAGCATAACTATAGAGATAGCTCAGGATAACCTGAGCCACCCTAACTATAAGCTTTATCAAAAATGAAAGTTTTAAGCCTAGCCTTAAAAGTAGACAGGCTGTCTGCCTCACGGACTAAAACTGGTAGTTGGTTCCACAGGAGAGGAGCCTGATAACTAAAAGATCTGCCTCCCATTCTACTTTTAGAAATTCTAGGAACCACTAGTAAACCTGCAGATTGAGAGCGAAGTGCTCTGTTAGGAACATAAGGAACAATCAGATCTCTGATATAAGATGGAGCTTGGCCATTTAAGGCTTTATATGTGAGAAGGAGGATTTTAAATTCTATTCTTGATTTAACAGGAAGCCAATTAAGAGAAGCCAGGATAGGAGAGATATGATCTCTCTTTTTCATTTTCATTAGAACTCTGGCTGCAGCATTTTGGATCAGCTGAAGGCTTTTAACTACAGTTTGTGGACTTCCTGATAGTAAAGAATTACAATAGTCCAGCCTTGAATTAACAAATGCATGGACTAGTTTCTCAGCATCACCCCTGGACAGGATATTTCTAATTTTTGCAATGTTCCTCAGATGAAAGAAGGAAATTCTAGAAACCTCTTTGATATGGGATTTAAATGACAGGTCCTGATCAAAAATAACACCAAGATTTTTTACTTTATTATCTGAAATCAGTTTAATCCCATCCAAATGAAGTGACTGGCTAATCAGTTTCTTTTTCAGAGACTCTGGTCCAAAGACTATAACTTCTGTTTTGTCTGCATTCAGAAGCAGAAAGTTAAGAGTCATCCAGGTTTTTATGTCTTCAAGACATGCCTGTAATCTATGTAATGGGTTAGCTTCATCTGGATTTATAGACAGATATAGCTGGGTATCATCAGCATAACAGTGGAAATTAATCCCATGCTGTCTAATAATTCTACCAATTGGGAGCATGTATAAAGTAAAGAGAATTGGTCCTAGCACTGATCCCTGTGGTACTCCACAGGTAAACTTTGAGCGTGTTGAAGATCTATCATTAACATGAACAAACTGAATTCGATCAGATAGATCAGATTTAAACCAGTCTAGTGCTGTTCCTTTAATTCCAACAAAATATTCAAGTCTTTCTAAAAGAATATTATGGTCAACTGTATCAAATGCAGCACTAAGATCCAACAGGACGAGCACAGATACAAGTCCATTATCTGAGGCCATGAGAATATCATTAGTGACTTTCACCAGAGCTGTTTCAGTGCTATGATGAGCTCTAAAGCCAGACTGAAACTCTTCAAAAAGTTCATTATGGTGGAAGTGATCGCAAACTTGTTTGGCAACTACTTTCTCAAGAATTTTGGATAAGAAAGGAAGATTGGATATAGGTCTATAATTGACCAAGTCATCTGGGTCAAGAGACGGTTTCTTAAGCAGAGGTTTAATTACAGCAATCTTAAAAGCTTTAGGTACATATCCCTGTAACAGAGATAGATTAATCACATCTAAAATGGAGGAGGAGATCAAAGGGAATACCTCCTTAAATAACCTGGTTGGAACTGGATCTAACTGGATCCACTGCTCCACCATGCAATTCCAGTTACATCCTCTCCTGTAAATGTTTTGCAGGTTAGTCATCAGAATCTGAGCTGCATATTCATAAAGACACACACTTCAAAAGTTCTTAAACACCCAGATTGCTTTGCTTCTGCTTTGTAGGTCGGCTTTGCCCATGCTAACAAGTTTGCATGTTTTATAACGCCTGCAAACCTTTTGAAGTTTTAGCACAAAGGCTGAAGCTATTGGTTTAACATTAAAGCACATTAAAAAATCTCGAACTGAGTTTGTTTATCATCAAAATATTACTTGAAGGTAAGATGCCGACTTCTCATAACTGTTCCTGTCACACTGTTTCCATTTGTGCACATATGGTGTTAAGTTCAACTCAGGTCGTTTTGGATATACAAAAAGAACAATGCTGAAATATGGCAGAGTTTTTCTACTTATAAACCTGCTCTTCAAGAGCTGCAGCATTCTTATCAGGCTGTTGCAGATCACATGCTTTATGCAAGCAATACTGCAAAGTGTGCTTACTTACTAAACTGATCAGTTAACTATGCAAACGTAGTTAATGGTAAAGTTTTATGCGCTTGAACATTGGGGCAATATTAACTATTTTTAGACAGTTATTTATCTAAATAGAAACACACTTATGGGTTGGAAGAAAGTGTCTATTGTGTTTTCCTTTCTCTCAGGGACACTTACGTTTGCCAAATTCTCCGTTGGAGATGTTGAAGGCCTGCATTTGGTCCTTGGTGATATCCAGGTACAGCCCATTTCCAATGTAGACAGTTTCCTTCTTGCAGGAGTAGCAGTATCCGATCCTTGCAGCGAACAGATTCAGCGAATTGTTTGTGGCAAAGTAATTATTGGGTCCTGAAAATAAAGTGAGACAAGGTAATGCTCAGGACAAGACTCTGAGGTACATCTACACCTGATGAACAAAGGACATTCTTTGGAGGACCAGAATGTTCACATTTTGGACAAAGAAGACAGGTGGTTTGAGAGGAGATGAAGGAAGCCATATATGTTAAGAAAGAAAAAACAACCTTAAACAGAGGGGGAGGGGACTCAGATTTCAACTTTCAGAAACCTAAAATGCAGCGATAGAGTTGATTCCTTCCCGCTATCATAGCAGCCCCAACACCTTTACAGGAGAACAGAAGACCTCACCTGTTCAGCCAGGCCAACAATTACTCTTAAAGTCGTAGGGAAGCGGCTGTTCCAACCGTTGCATTTCCGAATTCTCCCGAGTGGTGCCCGACTTTACATGAGTGAATAAAGTGATGTGATTGGTCGATTATCAAGGGGGCGGGATTGTTGTGGTGGAAGGTTCGCAAGCAAGTTTGATTGTTGCCAGTGTCTAGGAAGCATCTTGCTAACCAGTTAGCAACTTAGTGCTAGCAGGTTCCCAATGGGAAATTCCATTGGGACCAAGTAGCACTAAATTGGTTACTTAGAAACGACGCTGTCAAGGAACGCTATGGACAGAGGAAACATGCAAGAGGAGGAGAGTTTAGTGTCGGAGGTCTTGGATGAGTCTCCTCCGTCATCCATTTTTTATTTAGAGGAGGAAAGCGGGGACGAAGATGTTGTGGAAGAGGACGCCAGGGCGGCAGAAGTTTGGTTTGGTGTAGAAGGCTTCCAGCCGTACATGTTTGAGCCCTTGCCTCGCAACGCTGCCAGTTCTGTTAGCTCTACGCCTGCCGAAGACACAGACGTCCATCCCCGTGAACACTGGGACGCAACTCAACGCGAAAGGAAAGGATTCTGATTTCAACCGTTGCGTATATTAGCTGTGACATATGAATCAAGATGCTATGACCGAAAACATTTGATTGACAGATGACTGTTGATATATGATTGGCCGAATTTAGGTGTTCAGGCTGACGTAGAACTAACTGGCCTGCAGAAGAAAAACACAGATTTTAAGAAAGGGATTTTTTTTTATAGAAATTTTCTAAATTTAGGGACAGTATGGTCTGATAAAGATTATTAAATTTATATACATGTTTAAGCCAGATTGATTTGACATTTAAATATGATTTCCCTATGACTTTAAGGACCCCCCTTTCAGGGACATTTTTGATCCACTCTATAAATCCTCCAACTCAACACTATGTCTGCCATTTTGAATTTAAAAAGCTTCCTGGATGGGAAGAGAAACGTCTTCAAACTTGGAAACAAAGTCCAGTGGATTGTTTTTGAACTTTTTTGGCATGACTATGACCTGGATGACTGAGAATCATGAGATGACATTTTTTTTTACCAAACTTGCTAGACTGCATTGCAAAGAAAAGAAGACGATTGTTACGGTAATCAAATGCTTGTGAGACACGTAACAGAGTTGAGCTAAAATTAGTGGGAGAGGCACACAAACAAGGAAGAAAACAACAAGTTTAATGGGCATGAACGAGGGCGATAAACTCACCTGTCTTTGAGAAGGGGTAGTCCAGCTTAACAGTTACAGTATCAGCATAGGCAGTGTTATTAGGAACTTTCTAAGAAAACAAAAGAAGAAAGGTTGTTATTAATTGGCATAAAACAAAAAAACACATCACAAAATTATTGTTAGAATGAGAAGGAACACTGGGGATAGGGACGATAGATGTGCAAATAAGTCTAATTGAAACAAATCTAGGTTCTAGTTCTAGATTTAAATCCACTCTGAATGTATTTCCATCTGAAAAACTCACACGGAGAGAAAAGACAGATACTAGAGCTTCACTTGGGGACCTGGAAGGTGGAGGTCCAGTTGGATAACACGGGTTGAGAGAACCTGTCCATGATGAGCAAGCATGAAGTGACTGTGGAGAGGAAAAACTCCCAATTGGGAAGAAACCTCTGGCAGAACCAGACTCAACATGGCGGTCTTCTGCCGGACCGGTTAGGATGAGATACGGAACGCAGTAAGAGTCCAGGAGGAATGAAACTCTGATGAAGTTTTAGCTGCGATGGTGGAGGAGGGGATGGAGGGGGGTTGAAACGGGCTAATCTGAATGAAGTCACATGGCGCAACCACTGCCTGCACACTAGGTAGCAGATGAGGTGCAGATTAGAGGCCTTTTTAAGGAATAGTACACCCAAAACATGATTAGCCTTCATTTTCTACTCACCCCCATGCTGAACAACACTCTGGAGTACTTTTTTGATATCTCAAATGCATCTGGAGATCTGGGAGGCTTCTTGCTGTCTGCTGACATTCAAATAATGGAGGTCTATGGCGCCCGAGGCAGAAAGGTCCATAAAAGTCCACAAAAAACGTGTCAATATTCCTCCATACTGCTCGTCCAATGTATTCCAAGTGTCCTGAGTGGGTAGCGTCCATAATTTACTCGAAACGAAGTCATTTAGAACGTTTTTAGAGCATAAACAGTAGTGTATAGGATTTCCTGAAAGCGCGTTCACGAGTCTACGGAAACCAGGCAGACCAAACCAGATGAAAGCGCTCCCAGATCTCCAGATGCATTTGAGATATCAAAAAAGTACTCCAGAGTGTTGTTCAGCATGGGGGTGAGTAGAAAATGAAGGCTTATCATGTTTTGGGTGTACTATTCCTTTAAACTTCTGCCTAGGCTCAATTTATCAGGAAGAAATACAGAGAAAAGCAAATAGAATCCCTCAACAAGTTATTATATCTATGACATTTAGGCTACGTTCACATTGCAGGCTTTAACGCTCAATTCTGATTTTTTTTTTTGGGCTGTTGTTCACATTTCCAAATATATGTGACTTGTATGTGATCTCGAGTGAACTGCATTCACACACCTTAAGTGTACCGCATGCAGAAGAAGGAAATTAATGGAATTAAATATTACCAGAGCATTAAATAAATAAAGAAAGAATCATCTGATGATGATTGTTTGATTTTTGTGGGCAGAAGCTGCTGTTTAAGGTCTAATGAACTTGTTTCAACAGACCATGTGACTGTGTTGCCCAGTGATCTGCCACTCAGATAAGGCAGAGTAGATCTTACCCAACCAGTTCCGTCTGGTTTTAGGCCAGAAAGTTTAGCAACTTTGCAAGTTATTTTTGTCTCTGCTAAAAAACAACATTCTGTAGGGTCAAAAAACGCGGCATGACCCTTCAAAATAAAACAGAGCATTTTTCTTGAAACTTTTGTCGTAAAACATTATTGGTTTGACGTTTACATTAAGATTTATGTTATTTTCGTTGTGAGCTTTTAAATTAATAAGAACCAGATCAATGAATGGAAGTTATTTTGGAATAAAAAAACAAACATAAAGACAAGAAAAAGTACTTTTAAAATATTCTGTACAGCCTAAATGTAAAAATACGGAAGCCCAGAGAGGTCGTGTCACTCCGATACTTTGGACTAACTGGATGTGCGCTCTCTCCCTCAGCATCGACAGTTATTACCGTGCTGCATTACGCTATAAAGTTAAGAATAGTATTGGTTTCTACCTGGATAAAAGTTGGATAGCTTCTAGTTAGAGTGGTATCTCTATAGTTATGCTGCTATAGGGTTAAACTGCTGGAGAACATAAAGGGAGTTTTTCCTCTCCATTGTCGCTACAAGCATGCTTAGTGTTAGGGATTGCCTTCGAGTCAATGAGTCGATGCAATCAGCTGGTTTTCCTTAGATAGAAAACTTTGAATCAATCTGACTGGAGGATCTGGTTGAACTGGAAAGTGTTTGAGATGACTTGTGTTGTGAATTGGCGCTATAGAAATTGAATTGTTTTCTATAGTGTATAAATGAAATGGCAAATGTTACACTGAAGCTGCAACAAAGGGAGTTTAATGGCAAATCTCAAGGTAGAACAAAAAAGATAAAGAAAATTTAGACGTTCTAAAATCAGGATGATTTTCCTCAGCTTCCTCTTCTTGTATTAATATGATGCAATTTAATGAAGCCCAAGCATTTACAGATTCATGATCAGTAAATCTGCATTTAGTTAGCGAGCCGATAATAGTGGAACCACTGATCCTGATTTCCATCGTTGTGGACTGGTTAAACTGGACTGACTGGGAGTAATCCCACTAGGTTGAATTTGCTTTGTGGTACGGGACTCTGATTTAAAATCTATGTTTGTGAGGAAATTGACAACAAACACAAATATTACATTCATTTTTTTATATCGATTTACAAATTTAGACATCTATTTGTAGTTTTTTTGACAGTTATCTTACCTCATAGAAATAATGAATAAGGTTAAAGGTCATTAGCACAGTCTGATGTTTGTGTGTTGTTGCAAAAGCAGACTATGCAAATCCTCGCAAGGCTGCATTTCGCAATGCTCCACTTTGCTTTGGCCAAAACCATCTGTTTTACAGAAACAGTTATCTCATCAAACAGAACTCTCCTGTAGTCGAATGTGCTGCGAATGAAACTTTCTGTGCACCGTCAACTGAAGCCACTAGATTCACACATACAGCTTTAAATAGCTTAAGCTAATGATAAAATCAGCTGCACCAGAAACAGGAGATAGCGCCTGCTTTGCTAGAAGTTCCCCATCAGTTACTTCTACAGTCTGTTCCTCATGGGTTTCTATGAGCTTGATTCAATTTTCCTTTATTGCAACATTTAACAATTTCATAATCCAGTCAAATTATGGCTTCATGTTTTTGCTGATTAATCACTATTATATGCGTTGAGGTTAGGACAAAGTGGTTTCCTGCTCTGAAGACGGTTTTGAAGCTTTAATTTCTTATTTTCTGTGAAATATACCCACAGTAGGTTTGTTGGTTTGTTTGCTTTTCACCAAACCCCAGGACGGAAGTGTGACAGTCACGATTATTCTACGACCTTATTCTATTACTAGAATAAGGTCCTAATAACATGACAGTAAAGTCATAAAAGTACAAGACAAAAAAGGTCGTTGTTAACTAGTGTTTCCCCGATACAGATACCAGTATCAGGCGGGGCCCCGATCCAGCACTAAAATGGTTGGAGCCAAAAGTTTCTTCAACTATTGTCACCCATTCCAGGTAGGCAATAAAAAGTTACTAAATTCACTTTGTTTTAGTCTTTTTCCTGCTTCACAAAGGAAGGCAGCAGCTTGACATGAAGCCATGATGGCAATTATTTTACATCCAAGTAGTCTGCAGTTCTACATAGATACAAACACATCAATTTCAAACAGATGGCATCGGTATCGGCCAATACTGCCGATACCTACAGACGGGTACGGGGGCAAAAAAATGGCATCGGTGCAACACTATTGTTAATTCGAAAAAAAAAAAAAAAAACTATGGTTGCCTCAGCCAAGCTGTAGCCTGAGCCGAGAATTTTGACGCAGCGCGAAGAATGCGCTCTCGTTTTAGAGTTTATTTATTCTTTAAATTCCTTTTTTTTATTTTCATAATATTATAACATTACTATTAACCTCTTAATGTTACGACTTTAATCTCGTAATGTTACCAATTCAAGTTAGGGTTTTATTCTTGTATACTAGATGGATTTTTTAAAAGACCCGCCCCCTCCATTTCACAAAAAAATCTGCATGCAAGACTGTGCACTCGTGCATGCCCTGTTTAAAATGTGCTGTTCTCATAGATCATACAAGCTTACTGTGTCCGTATATAGCGAGGACTTTATAGTGAACTACTTTTTTTCTCCGTTGGTTTGTTATTACTCGCCGCTGTCAGATAGCGACAGCCTATGGCGACAACGGACCGCTGTGACAGCAAATCCCATAATGCTTTGCGAGGAGAGCTCTCCGCACAAAGCATTCTGGGATATATCTGCCTCCTCTGAGGCCTTTCTTTTCTTCTCATTCACTTCGTAAACACTTTTTCTCTTCCGACCATCGGAAGAATCTGTGAGAAAGGTGAGCTTCAATGACTGTCTGAAAACCGTAGCTCACCACAAATACACGCCTGAAAGTGCGCATGCACAGAAAAAGATAGCTAACAGGTCGAGAACGTAGGATGGCCTTATGTGTAAACATATCACCGGAATGATTGACAGTTAGGAGGACCACTTATTTAGATGATCCACCCGGAAATAAAAGATCGTCCTCTATACTTCTTATATAATGACTTTTTTTGTAATTCAACAACCCTCTTTAATGTTATGGCTTTATTATCGTAAAGATTTTTTTGGGCATTTCTTAATATAATGACTTCTTTCCCGTAAGTTTACATCTCTTAATCGAGAAAGATTTCATTCCCCCAGACTTAATATTATGAAATTATTCTCAAATTGCGACATCTTTAATCTAGTAATGTAAATCCGTTCGTCACGTAGAATTCAACTTCAATATTCTAGTATTATGATTTTATTTTTATTATGTTAGGATTCTACTCTCGTAGATTGAAGGCCGCGACTGTTTTTGCAATGTTACGGTTTTATTTTCTCAATAATACAGCTTTAATCTCATAATTTTATGATTACAAAATTGTTATTCTAAACTTAAAACTTCCATCCTGTGATGTAAGGATTTTATTTTGATAGACCAAATATTATGACCGTTTTCATAATATTACAAATTAACTTATGTAATATTACAATTTTATTCCTTACATGTTATGATTCTGTTCTCGTAAACATAATATAACGACAACAATCTCACAATATTATGACTTTTGTCGTATTTTTACGACTTTGTTCTGTTCAATAAAGAAATATTCTTGTAGACCTAATTTTAGATCATTATTTTCGTAAAATTACAACTTAATACTCGTAACATTATGACTTTATTCTTGTAACATTACAATTTTATTCTTGCAGAGTTGCGACTTTATTCCTGTCATGCTAAAATTCTTTACTTGTAGGATTAGTTTAATGACTTAATTCTCATAATACGACTTTCTCTTCAAGAACTATTAAATTCTTGTAGACTTAATTTCAAATCATTATTTTTGTAAAATTACAACTTAATTCCCGTAACATTATGACCTAATTTGTGTAAAATTACAATTTTATTCTTGCAAAGTTGCGACTTTATTCCTGTCACGCTAGAAATATTTACTTGTTGGATTAGTATTGCGACTTAATTCATGTAATATTATGTCTTTGTTCTTGAAATGTAACAACTTTATTCGCATAAAATTCTGACTTAATTCTAGCATTGTTGCGACTTTATTCCTGTCATGCTAGAAATCTTTATTTGTAGGATTAGTATTGCGACTTAATTCTTGTAATATTATGTCTTTGTTCTTGGAATGTAACGACTTTATTCCCATAAAATTCTGACTTAATTCTAGCATTGTTGCGACTTTATTCCTGTCACACTAGAAATCTTTACTTGTAGGATTAGTATTGCGACTTAATTCTTGTAATAATATGTCTTTGCTCTTGGAATGTAACGACTTTATTCCCATAAAATTATGACAATTCTAGCATTGTTGCGACTATTCCTGTCATGCTAGAAATCTTTACTTGTTGGATTAGTATTGCGACTTAATTCTTGTAATATTATGTCTTTGTTCTTGGAATGTAACGACTTTATTCGCATAAAATTATGACTTAATTCTAGCATTGTTGCGACTTTATTAATGTCATGCTAGAAATCTTTACTTGTAGGATTAGTATTGCGACTTAATTCTTGTAATAATGTCTTTGTTCTTGGAATGTAACGACTTTATTCGCATAAAATTATGACTTAATTCTAGCATTGTTGCGACTTTAATCCTGTCATGCTAGAAATCTTTACTTGTAGGATTAGTATTGCGACTTAATTCTTGTAATGTTATGTCTTTGTTCTTGAAATGTAACGACTTTATTTGCATAAAATTATGACTTAATTCTAGCATTGTTGCAACTTTATTCCTGTCATGCTAGAAATCTTTACTTGTAGGATTAGTAATGCGACTTAATTCTTGTAATATTATGTCTTTGTTCTTGAAATGTAACGACTTTATTCGCATAAAATTATGACTTAATTCTAGCATTGTTGTGACTTTATTAATGTCATGCTAGAAATCTTTACTTGTAGGATTAGTATTGCGACTTAATTCTTATAATATTATGTCTTTGTTCTTGGAATGTAACGACTTTATTCGCATAAAATTATGACTTAATTCTAGCATTGTTGCGACTTTAATCCTGTCATGCTAGAAATCTTTACTTGTAGGATTAGTATTGCGACTTAATTCTTGTAATATTATGTCTTTGTTCTTGGAATGTAACGACTTTATTTGCATAAAATTATGACTTAATTCTAGCATTGTTGCGACTTTATTCCTGTCATGCTAGAAATCTTTACTTGTAGGATTAGTAATGCGACTTAATTCTTGTAATATTATGTCTTTGTTCTTGGAATGTAACGACTTTATTCGCATAAAATTATGACTTAATTCTAGCATTGTTGCGACTTTATTAATGTCATGCTAGAAATCTTTACTTGTAGGATTAGTAATGCGACTTAATTCTTATAATATTATGTCTTTGTTCTTGGAATGTAACGACTTTATTCGCGTAAAATTATGACTTAATTCTAGCATTGTTGCGACTTTATTAATGTCATGCTAGAAATCTTTACTTGTAGGATTAGTATTGCGACTTAATTCTTATAATATTATGTCTTTGTTCTTGGAATGTAACGACTTTATTCGCGTAAAATTATGACTTAATTCCAGCATTGTTGCGACTTTATTAATGTCATGCTAGAAATCTTTACTTGTAGGATTAGTATTACGACTTTATTCTCATAATTTTACTATTTTATTTTGTAATATCCCAACTTTATTCATGTTATATTGCAACTTTAGTCTCAAAAAAAAAAAAAAAAAACGTAATTTTTTCAATGTTCCAACATTTTGTCATGTAATGTTATGACTATTAACATCTTTTTAGAATTTTGGACGTAATTTTCCGAATTTATTTTCCTTTTATAACGTGTTTTCTTTTTCTCCAATTCTAGTTTCTACAAGTATTCGGTTTGCCATTGTTAAAAGTTTAAAATCACTAATCATGGTGATCAAGTAATATATAAGGGTACAGATTACAAATACACTAACTGATCTTACTGACTTCCTTAAACCTGGGAATAAACTGTATGATTTTTTCACGCAGCTACAGCTCACACTGTACTACAAAACTAGCCATCTAACACTGTGCGACCCGACGCACTGATGCGATCTACCTGCTCACACTGTACGTAAAAACCAGGTGGGACTCAGCTCCGCGGTGAGACGGCGCTACTCAGACTCGTCTATCTGGAAGCCAAACGAGTAGAAGAGGAATATGAAGCTCACTAGAGTGAAACGCGCTGCCTTGGATATTTGGGTAATTTTGTGCTAAAAGCTCTAAAAAGAAAAGGAGACGACGTATTTGGACAAAGACATGGCTGAGCAAACGTGGCTACTACGGTCTGTCAGTTTGACAGAAAGAACTCCATTTCCTCTAAGAGGAAGAAGAAGAAGAATCCTTGTTTGCCCAATGAGCAAATTGCCCACAACCACTTCAAAATGGCCGACTGAATTTCAAACATGTTTGATTTTCTCTCAACCTTCTGATTCCTGATGGGGAGGTGGTTACCAGGGGCTGATCTCCCCTCGTTACCCTGTTTACACAACATGACGCACGATCGGGCCGAAAGTCGGTCCGATTGAAAAATTCTCCCAGAACTGAAAAGTCACCCCAAAAAAAAAGGAAAAAAATCGTCCAGTAAAACTGGCCAGTTTTTATGCTGATGGTAAAAAGCGATATACTCATTCGCAAGTCTAGAGTTTGTATATCTATTGTTCGCAAAGTCTAGAGTGCTAAAACAAAAGGGATAAAAAAAAAGCATGTTGGAATGTGACAAGTGATGGAAATAAAACCTTGTGGAAGATGAAGGTGATGAAACCCTGTGAGAACGAAAGCGTCAGGTTGGCTTTGGTTTCCAAGCATTCGCCACTTGGCTTAGTCTGCGATGGTTGAACAATGAAGGTTCCATTGGCCTGAGGAAGAGAAAAATGTCAAATGTAAACCTCTCTTTATTAAATTTGATGACTGGAAATATTTACCAAGACCTTTCAGCAATCTTTGGTTTGGAGGTGGGTGGCTGATGGAGCTTACCTTTGGTGTTTCCAGCCTGATTTGGAGCTCCATCTGAGCCATCAGGCAGACCTTCTTGTTGACCGTCAGATTATAGTTTCCTATAGTCAAATTGGCAGCTGGAGTAGGTTGAGGTGCTGGAGTTGTTGTTGGTTTGGTTGTTGGGGTAGTTTTTGGGGTAGTTTTTGGCGTGGTTTTTGGTGTGGTTGTTGGTTTAGTCGTTGGTTTAGTCGTTGGTTTAGTCGTTGGTTTAGTTGTTGGTTTGGTAGTTGGTTTAGTTGTTGGTTTAGTTGTTGGTTTAGCCGTTGGTGTAGTTGGGGTTGCCGGTGATGTTTTATTGCCTGGATCTACAAAGGCCTCAGCAGTACCCATAGGAGCAGGCGTTTTGTATTGTTTTGTGTCGTCAGCCAACGTCCGTGCTTTAACAAACAGAAACAAAAATCAGTCTAAATACTTGTTTCTCCACCACTTAAAGCTGATTTCATGTTTCTGAACATCTGTGAATTGTTGAAACACGTCTCTTCAGGGACAAATGCACAATAAAATGTGGTCATGCATCGCTGATGCACACATCGTTATAGATTTCTAATGACCTTGGTTGTGTCTGTTTGTCTAATCTTTGTTGTACAGGTGCTCTCCCAGGCTACATTCTTTAACAACGTCGTCCTGAACGCAGACAATGAAGGTAAACAACCTTTATTTTAGACTGTAAAACTACAAAAGTTGGACCACAACATTAAAAGAAGAAGAAACTCTGCGTGTTTTAGTTTTATTTATCTTAACGTCAAGATTTAATTCTAGATATGGAGTGAACTGTGTGTCAGATTTCTGACTTATGGCACAGCTTTGTTAGGATCATCCGTAGTAAATGAAGCCTTCAAAGCTTGATAAGTTTCAACTCTCATTAATGTATCAAATAATGTACTGATAACTTCTTTACTTTAAATAGATTTTTTATTAGGTTTTAGAACTTAAAATTCCTGCTAAATCAAATTTCTATAGTTGATTTCAATTCAGCTTTTCAGCAACAGCAGAAAATTCTTGCAGTGACAAACAAATGTGGGAGCAGTCATGTGACTTTGAGCTGTGTCTGTGCACGACAGGCAGCGAAGAGTTTGACAGGAAGTCACAGTGAGGTCTGCTAGGACCATCTAAGGATTCTTTTATGTTACAGCAAAGGCATTAAACTCTTTGATGAATCCAGGATCAGCTCAGGTCTGATTAGAATCACACAATAATTCAGGGATTAAGTAAAGTAGTAGAATATTCTGCTTTTACTTGCATACCATTTCTTTATCAGCCTTTTGAAAAGTATTCAAAAATATTTTAGATATTTTCCTCCCTTACCTGTAAGAGCACAGCAGGCAAAAAGGATTAACACAGCAAATCTCATCTTGATGACGGGTCAGGACTCAAGGCCTCGTTCACTGCTCCTCACACCAGCCCAATATGGAAAAAAGTGATGCACCTCCGTTGATAAATGTCAGCCAGAGTGAAGCAGAGCAACAGCAGGGGAAGCACAAAAAAAAATGTTTCAAAATAAAAGCAGCAATTACAAGAGTTCAGTGGAGCCACTAGTTTTAGGTGTACGAGATACATAATGGTGGATTTAAAAACGTGTTGTTTATATGTGTGGAAGTGTTTAATAGAAATAGCATATACACTGGAAAAAATCGAAATCTAGATGAGTAATTGTTTCTTAAACTAAGTGCATTTGTTCCTTGATAGAGGAGGTAAAAGTGACATTTTGCCAATGGAACAAGACAATTTACACCTAAAATTAGAAAACACAATTGCGTTGTCTTATTTAAAGTTCATATTATCTAATTATCTTATTTTAAGAGAAAAAAATACTCATTCCATTGGCAAACTATCTCATTTACCTACTCAAATTTAGGGTATATATACTTAATTTAAGGAACTTATTTCTAGATTGTTTTTCCAGTGTAGATAGAAAGAGCTATATAACTTTGCAACAACGAAAATGTAGGTACAAATCACAAATTTATGAATAAGACATACAAATTTACGAGTGTAATTCACACATTTATGAGTACAAATCACAAATTTACTAATAAAAATCACAATTTTACGGATCAGAATCACAAAGTGACGGATAGAAACCAGACATTTATAGATACACTGGAAAAATGACCTAGGAATACGGAAAATTTTCTTGAATTAAGTGTATTTACCCTTAATTTGAGTATGTAAATGAGATAGTTTTCCAATGGAATGAGTTTTTGTAAACTTAAAATAAGATAAGTAGATAATATGCCCTTGAAATAAGACAATGCAGTTGTGTTTTATTATTTTAAGTGTAAATTTTCTTGTTCCATTGGCGAAATTCCTCTTTTACCTCCTCAATCAAAGAACAAATGCACTTATTTTAAGAAAAAATTACTTATATAGATTTTGATTTTTTTCCAGTGTAGGAATCGCAAATTGGGCTTCTCAGTGGCACAACAAAGGTTGCGGGTTCGGTTCCCGGCCCGCATTCTCCTGCATGGAGTTAGCATGTTCTCCCTGAGCATACATTGGTTCTCTCCGGGTACTCCGGCTTCCTCCCACAGTGCAAAAACATGACTGTTCGGTTAACTCTGGCTTTACTTCAATTAAATCATTTTGATATAAAACTTACAGCTATTTCGTATTTATCCATATTCTAACCCTACCTTTGCTTTTCCAGCAGCTCTGATGCTGAATGGTTTCTGTTGATTAACTTATCAGTTCTACTTTGTATTTGATTTAGTTCATTTCAGTTTCAAACTCTTGTTTTTAAAAAGCGAGTCCTTACAAACAATTTGACATTAAATTCTAAAGCCATACAGTTCGCTGTAATTTATTCCAATTTAAATAAGTAAAGTTTAAATCTGATTAAAATAAAACTTGGTTACATAATAATTACATCCCGGTACATGAAGCAGTTTGTCCCTTAAGAAAAGAGTTCCCTGAATATAAAACTGAATCTTTGCTTTTTTCCTCTCCCTAATCCAGAGCATGTTTGGGGCGACAGTGGAGAGGAATGATTACAGAAGAACCAGACTCTAATTCTAATTTCCGACTAACTGGGGTTGAGGGGAGAGGTTACAGACACAGACAGACCGACTGGGTCAGGCATACTTTCTATGAAGGAAAACAACAAAAACAGAACAATAACATCCAGTTTATAACTAAATGATACAGATTAAAGAGAGTAAACATGGCAAAGTTAGAGTTAAAGTGTCTTTGAGAGATGAGTTTCTGATTATGCTGTTTTTTCAGAGGAAGCAAAAATGTTCTTGGTTTATTTCTCTACAATGAAGTTTTCATCCAAAACTAAAATCCAGTTCTGCGCTTTTACATTGACAGTACAGAAAAGGAAGTCGTTCTCTTCTGTTCGCCCTGAAGTTCCCCAAACACTAACAAGCCGTTCAACACACAGGCAAAATTGAAGAAATGAAACTAATGTGAACTCAGGGAGGACAGGAGAGAGAGAGAGAAGCCATCCCTGAAATGAAAGTGAGCTGAGTCTGAACAAACCAGAAGTTTCACTGGGTGTTCTCACATGATTTCCTTGCTGTGTTGTTCATGGCCAGCGATACGCGCCTTCAGTTAAAGGAAGGATGTATATAACCGGACATTTTAAGCTTTATGTTCAAAGTTTCAACCTCTTGGACAAATGCAAAATGAAGCCGTAGCTACGAATGACGTAGCAGAGTGGGGGGGTTACCTTAAGTCAGTTTGTACAGCTGCATGGTGTTTATGGAAGAACTTCTACTTATTACTAATACATAGGCATAGTGTTCATGTAGTGTGGTGATCTTATCTTGACATAAAGATAAATGAAAAACATTGTGAGACCCAAAGACCCAAGCGAACTGATTAATAGGTCTGGAAATATAATTGAAGCAATGACAGTTTTTAATGCAATTCGGTTCATTTTATTTCTATAGCAGCAATTCACAACACGTCATCTCAAGGTACTTTACAATTCACCAGATCATCCAGTCAGATTAATTAGAAGTTTTCTGTTTAAGGAAAACCAGCTGATTGCATCGACTCATCAACTTAAAGGCAATCCCTCGCACTGAGCATGCTTGTAGCGACAGTGGAGAGGAAAAACTCCCTTTGAACAGGAAGAAACCTCCAGCAGAACCAGGCTCAGTGTGAGCGGCCATCTGCTGAGGCCCACTGGGGTTCAAGGAGACAGAAGCAGACATAGAAAAAGAAGCATAGATACAAAAGGCAACTGTCAACCAGCTCCACAGGCGGCCCCGTCCAGGAAACACACAGCCAGGCAGACGAGCTCCGAGCCAGCTCCCATGTCAGAGGATGAAGAGAGCACATCCAGTTAGTCACCATCAGAGAAACAGGACTACACTGGAAAACAGGCCAAGCTCCAACATCTAGAAACAAAGGTGTTGATGGCAGCAGCACAGCTGATATTTCTCTCCAGGATGGAGTCACAGCCAAACAGGAACAGACCAGATGAAGCTACTATGAGAAAAAGCAGAGAGAGCAGAACGTTAGAGATTGAACTAATAGATTCTGCAGAGTGGGAGAATAGAGATAGAATGAAGCAGAATTATGAAAAAGGGGTCCCTATGTCCTCCAGCAGTCTAAGCCTATAGCAGCAGAACTATAGAGATAGCTCAGGATAACCTGAGCCACTCTAACTAGAAGCTTTCCAACTTTTATCCAGGTAGAAACTAATACTATTGTTAACCCAAATCACACAGTAAAGCAGCACGGTAGTAACTGCCAATGCTGAGGTAGTACTGGTAAAGTTTACAGAGAAGAACGTAGCAGCAGAAATAGTAACAGTGAACCATTTACCAGGTGTTGCTTCTATAAAGCAGCATTGTCAGAGCATGCAGCTTTTTTTGTAATTTGGGTTTTATTCAGCTGGTTTTATTTCCTTTGGACTAAAGTCAGAGGATATTTTCTGAGATCATGTGACTGAAAGAGGAAGTAAAAAGGTTTCTTAACCAAACAGCGTGACACAGTTTAACGTTTGGGTTACTGTTGCTGTCAGACCAGTTCTCACCCCGTGTCTTGTGACTAAACTGAACATCCAGTCTGTTCGAGAACCTTTTTACCTCTGATGAAGAAACTCCAACTGTCAGGCTTTTGTCTACATACATCTAATGGTTTATTGTTTTTGGGGGTTTTCCAAAGCAGAAGTAAAAACTGACCTTGGGATTTTGCATATCATGAAAAAAACTTTGAAGGCTTCTTTGATTTTCTTTTCTGATTTTATGGCGGGTCCTGTAGATTTTCTTTGTTTCATTGTGGCTTGCCATACTTCTGTTTTTTACATATTATCTCTGTTTACTTATTTTGTGTCAGCTGTTCTCTAGTTTATTTCTATTACATGTAACTTTTAGTTGGTTTGATCTTTACTTGGTATTATTTCTGTATTTCTGGAAAGGTTCTCTCTGTTTCTTCTTTGTGTTTTTTCCTCATTCAATAATTTCTTTCTCTGTTAAGTCATAGATTCAGTTTACCTGTGTTTGCACATACCTGTTTTTTCCACCTGTTGCTTAAAGCCGGGCGTACACTGTATGATTTTTTTCCCTTTTCGGGTTGATTCTCCAGTCACGTGAGAATTTTCCTATCGGGCCTAGTTTCAGCCTGATGGTACGTGGTTTAGTGTACAGGGCGTAACGAGGAGCGACCAGCCTCTAATGACCACGTGTCAGGTTTCTGTTATGTTTTTCTTTTGAGTATTCAGTCTTATTTTACTCCTTGTTTTCTAGTGTTTAGTTTTCTTTTCTCCATGTTTTATAGTCCTAGTTATTTGATTATCATTTTGTTATTTCCAGGTTTCTATTTGTTGCTCTCTGCTGCCCTCTTGTGTTCTCCTTCTTCCCTAGCACTTGCCCTCTCTTGTTCTGTGCACACCTGCTCCCGGTTTCCTCATTAGCCCCCTCTTTGTCTCAGTCTCCTTTAAAAAGCCCTCTCTTTTCAGTTTCCATTTGCTGGGTCCTCGTCAAACACTGTCAAACTTTCTCCAACTCCGTCTTCCTGAGTCTTCCTCGTTGTGACAGTGATTCCCCTGATGTCTCCACGGTTTCTGGTTCTTTTTGACTAGTTTTAATGTTTGCTTCTTTTGGATTTTTGGACTCCTGATTTGATGCTTGTTTGGACTTCGTTTTCATTATTGGATTTTTGGATAACCTGCCTTTGTTTTCAGTTGCTGTCAGGATTTGGTTATGGAGTGTTGACCCAAAAGTAGAGGCAGGAAGGCAGAGGCGAATTTCTTTAGATTTAATTAAAAAGGGAAACTGAAAACAAAGGCAGGTTATCCAAAAATCCAATAATGAAAACGAAGTCCAAACAAGCATCAAATCAGGAGTCCAAAAATCCAAAAGAATCAAACATAAAAACTAGTCAAAACGAACCTGAAACCGTGGAGACATCACGTAAGAGTGAGCGTAGCAGTAATCAAAGCAAAAGAAGAACCTTGAATATAAGACATATTTTCAGTTGTTTCACTTTTTTTTTGTTAGGTA